AAATCCTCCTAAATCTTGAAAAAGAATCTGATTCTGTTATTGAGCAAAAGATGCCTGACAATCCACAAAATGCAGAGAGAACGGATTTAAGAACTCCTGCGTGTCCCCAGTCCAGGGTGCCGCTAGTGAATTTTAGACCCTGGATGGGAACAGCCCTGTGGGGACGCCCTTCCGAAGACCTCACACACTGCAGCTCGCCTTGCCTTCTCTGACCCCCGCGCCACCGCCCCGGCTCCAACGGCTCCGATGCTCTGTGTGACACGCCACAGTGTTTCCAGCACTAATTGCAGTACAACAAACAAGACCAGACCAAGAAACAGCAAGCCTGCGCAATTCGCCATTTTCCTCACTCAGATCGTGGCACCAGCTGGAAGGCCAAAGAAACCCGAGTCTGCACCTGCAGCCTGACGGCCCCGCTCGCCTGCCTCTCTCTGGGGTTGCGTCCACCAACCACCTCCTTAAATGCCCCAGCACTGGGGGGACTCCAGTCCTGGGAAGGCTACTGTTTCTCCTTCCTTTTGGTCCCCCAATCAGGTTTCCTGAAACCCACAAGTATCTCCAGCCTGCTGCCCAGCAGCTGAGGCTCAGGCCAGCCGACGCGCCAGCCAGAGGACCGGCCTCTGACAGCCCTTCCGGTGCAGGACTGTGTCCGTTGGATGCGTGGCCACCCAACCTCAAGGAGCCTCTTCTGAAGAGGGCCTTCCCCATGTGCTCCTGCCCTTTGCCGGTCACCCTCAGGGCCCTTTCGCCAGGTTCTGCCACCCACGACGTTGGCTGGGTGGCCGCCGGGGGGAGCCTCCTCTTGATGCCCCCCGTCTGCCACGGAACGTCCTTCCAGGGAGATCGGCCTGGCGCCGGTGTCTGTGCCGAGACGGCAGACTGAGCCCTTCCTCTTCCAGCAGGCATTTTATTCCTAATCTGCTCCTCTGATGTACTTCACAGCAGGTTCTTTAATATTTTAAATATGTTGATATTTTCACTCTTGCATTTGTCAGAATTTTTAATGTCTGTAAACCGTTCCGAGAGCATGTGCCCATTAGAAGGCAGAAACGAAACCAGCCGTCCGGCACAGAGAGCATGGAGCGCCGTCTTGGGGCGGGCCGGATGGGATGTGTCCATGAGGTCATCCCGGAGGGAGCAGCCAGAGGCCACCCCCAGCGGCTGAGTCGTTCCACGGGCCACCCCTTCTCTGGAGGGTGGGGCACAGAGGCCGTGCCCCCTGGAGAGTCCCCATCAGCTCGGGCTGGCCCGCAGGGTGCCACCAGCTCTCCCCGGGGAGCCCCCAGTTGGAGTAGCCCAGTCGCCTGGAGCCCCCTGCGGTTACACCGGGTCTTCAGCTGCGGTTCTGGAAGCTCCTTTCTGCCATGACGGAGCCCGGGCCCAGCGGGCTGGGCTGATGGTCGGCTCCTTTTCCGGCCGTGGCCGTGGCTGCGGATGTGGCCAGCCCAGCCCTGCTGGGGGGCCACTGGGAGGGGGCACAGAGCCCGCCTTCCTCCTGCAGTGGCACCCAAGCTGCCCTCCACTGGGCTGGGCTGCTGGACGGGCAGGGAGGAGAAAAAACCCGCCCCAAATGCGTGCCGCGGGGAAAGAGGCGCCCCCGTCTCTTCCCGCTTGCCCCTCCCGCCAGCTCCTCGCCTGCGCGGCCCGTCAGCAGGTGCAAAGGTGAGGCGCTGACCTGCCTCTGCAGCTCAGCTTCCGCGACCGATGCGGCGGCGGCGGCGGCGCTTGCCCCGGCGAGCATGGACCGGGGAGCGAAGAAGCCCCGGGGCGCAACCAGAGAGGCGGCGCCCCGCGCCCCCGGCCCCGGCCAGCGCCAAGCCAGGCCACCGGGCGCCTCCCTTCCGGGGAGCTGCGCGCTCCGCTCCGCCGCGCCATTCGGATGATGCAGAACCTCATTTGAAAGAAGCTGCAGCGCCAGCAGGAAAAGGCAATCAAAGGCAATCGGAGGGCAATTAGCAGCTCTTCTAATGACTAAATGCCAGCAATGCGGGGAGACTGGAGTGCGGGTGTGGGGGGAGAAGCGGGAGGGTGAGGACAGGCCGGTGCCGTGGTGAGATTCACGGACGGCCTGCTGAATCCTTCCGCGTTTGGCGAGCAGAGGAGAATCTGCCCCCTCCAAGCGGGAGCCTCCTTCAGGGTTTGTGCCGAAACGCTTCCCTTCGCCCTCACTCCGAATTGGCGTCATGGCTATGGGGCACCTTGGCATTTTTGTGCTGGCCAAGGGAATCCTACTTGGCTGGGCTCATGAAAACATTATTTAACCCCTCTCCAAAAAAGTGGTGCTGAAGGCAGAGCGGGGGGGAGGGTCCCCATCTCTCTGGGATCTCATCCCAAAACCTTTGGGTTTTATAGATGCTGCCCATCTGTTTGGTGGGCAGCCCCCATAAAGCTGAAAAGAAAAGGAGCCACAGGTCAGGCGTTCCGGAGACCCTGGAGTCTCCTGCTTCCCCACCTGGAAGCTGCTTCTGAGAGGCACCAAACCGGACACGTTCGCGGCTCCCCGAACCCTCCACAAATGGAGACCCCGAGAGCCAGTAAAAGCCGTTTTCTGGTGATGGACAGTTTAATATCTTTCCACGCCATTTATGCATCTGTTCACTCATAAATCCAGCTCACCCCTTGGCCCACAGTAATCTGCAACAGGTGCAAGGGAGGGAAGCAGAATAAAAGCGCAAATTCAAAAGGGATTCGAAGCGGAGCACCGCGACATCTCGGGGAGTGCGCAGTCCGGGGAAGAGTGGCTGCCCCGATCGGCTCATGGCTCTGGGAGTGGGGCCGGAAACCTTGAGCTGAGCTGATGAGCGTTCGCAATCCCTGATCATAAGCCCCCCCCCCGTCAAAGATGCAATCCATTCTCCTTCTGCACAACGGCCTCCACCAGCCTGGTTGCCCCCCACCCCCGGCGCGTTGCCCCCAGCCACCACATCCGGACGGCTGTGCGGGCCGGAGGTGATGGGGGCACTGACGAACTAGCCGTGTCCCTGGCTGCCCTGATTCTCTGCGCCGCCGACATCAGCAGCACGTTCTTCTCCTCTTGGGTGCCAGTCGTTTGCCGTCCCCGTTCGATTCGCACGAATGCGAAAATTGCACAAATCAATCTGCGTATTTTCCAAAGTTGTGCAATTCACCCACATAGACTAAAGTGTGAAATTACACAATTTTACAATTGCACAAAAGATGCAATATACCTCTGGCACGAAGCAACGATTTGAACAACAGTAACACAATCATTGGTTACAACCCTTTATAAGTCATTGCAAAGGGACTGCAGTCTTCATCAGCAGCATCGCCAGCAAAAACTCTGGTAGTTTTAAGAATGGGGCAGCTAGATTTTAATCATCAGGGATACAACCTGATGATTCAGCTCCAGGGCATTACACTGAAGAAGGGAAAGAAAAGGTGTTGGGTTGGCCTGAGGATCCTGTTAACTTCTTGAACACGAATTTAGCCTTGAATTCCCATTTCCTTCAGAAAGGCAACTATATCACTCTCTGGAAATAGGCAAACTGATTTTAATCAGTGGATCAGTTTAAAAGCAGCTGAATGATCCACTGAAAAAACAAAGCAGGTTTGCCAATCATGTTCCTGACACATAACACTTTTTTGGGTGGGGGGGGGGACTTTCTGCTGCACATCTGACGCTGCATGTCGCTCGGGGTGCCAGATTACGCCGAAAACATACGTAGTGGATTTGATACATCAATCAATGGCGCACATTAAAATGAAGTGAAGCACCCCTCCCCCACACCCTTTGGACAACCCTCCAACATGGTATGGGCTCCTTAAGCCCCCAGCCCCAAATGGCATATTTCCCTTCTCTGCACAGTAAATACCCCCCCCACACACACACCCCCCCCCATCCTGGGTCCCTCTCCTCAGGAAAAAGATTAATCAGACTGGGCTGCAGTTCACACAGAAAAGATTTAATCACCTCCAGAAAGCAGCCGCACCCAGTTATTGGGGGGGGACTGGGTGGCACTGGGGGCACCGGGAGGGGGAGGAACGGGCGATGGTGGTGGAGATATGGGACTGGGCACAGCGGGTCCAGGTTTTTAATGTAAAAACTTGTGTTCAACACTCAAACATCAGGATTGGACTTTTGGGAAAGTCATGATTTGGATGGGAAGCCGGGACTGTGGCAGGTGGAGGTCGGAGCGGGAGAAAATCAGAAGGGGGGGGGGCTTAGGGGCGGAAATGAGGGGCCAGAAGTCCTCAGTGCTGTGAGTGGGGCCATTGGCTTTTGGGGTGGCGCGTTTGGGAGAACGGGTGTGGGGGGGACACCGCGAGGGGAAGCCGGGGCGGGGTTTGTCCATGAGTGCAAATGACTTTTCCGATAATGAACACACCAAACACAGAATTTTTTATCTAGACCAGCCAGATACAATAAATAGAGTAACCGAATGTTCTCATTGGGTCTTGGGTGGGTAGTGGGGGGACAGGACCACCCTCCCTCACGTCCCACCACCGAACTCCACCTGGCGTTTTGCTTGGTTCTCTCCTGACGTACGTTTGCGCTCCCCTCCTTTTCCAGTGGAACAGTTATCAATGCATAAAGAGAAAAAGGATCTTTGTTTAATTGTGTGTCTTCTGTGCATATGTGCCTCTCCTGGGCCTCCCTGCCCTCCAGCCCGCCTCCCCCCCGCCCCCGTGCCCCCCACACCGCGCCCCCCCCCCCCCGTGTCCCCTGCCCCTTCCTGGGGACGCCACCTTGCATTCTTTTTCTGAAAAGTGCTGTCTTCGCCCATCCGCTCCCGCTCGCCGCTCGCTCTCTCTCTCTCTCTGGCTTGGGTAAGGCACCGCTGCAAAAATTCTGGAAAAAGCGGTCCCTGTGGGAAGAGCCGGGGACGCGCCGGATCCGCCCCCGTCCTCTCCAGCATCGCAGCCTGTTCCCCTCCCCGCTTCCTGCGTCTTTCCCTCCTTCCTCCCCTCCTCCACCGCCGGGTCTGCCCCCAGTTGCTTGTGCGTCCGGCAGTCCTCCCCCCGCCCCCCCAGCCCGCATCTCAGACGGTGCTTTCCAGCATCCACTCCGTGCTGCTGAAGGTGACCCGCCTGCGGCCCAGCGGGCCCTCCGCCGAGTTCAACTGCAAGGTGGAGAAGTGCCTTTTTGTCCGCGCCCGGCGGGGGTAGCTGTGGCTCTGGAACAGGGCGTAATCCCCGTCGAAGGAGTGGCGGTGGTGGTGAGTTCTGGACAGCTCGCGGGGAAGGGCCCCCGACCGGCTGCCCCCCAGCTTGGGGCGGAGCGGCGGCCCCAGGCCGGAGTCCTGCGGGAGGCACAGGGAAACGGACGAGCCCACAAGGTTGCCTTCCGTCGGCCCCTCCTCGGAATTAAAGAGAGCCACCGTCTGGAAGTCGGTGGCCGGCCCGGCCCCTTTCTTGCCCACCCCGGGCAAAGGGGTGTCCTGGCCGTTCGGGGTGTCCTCCCCGGCGTCCGCCCCACGCGTGGGCTCCGTGGGCGCCGTCTCCTGGAGGGCCTCGAACTTGTCCTCCCGCGCCTTGGAGGCCGAGCGGGGCAGCGGGGGGGCGGGGGGCGCCTGGCCGCCGTTGGTCTGCGAGTAGACGTTGCTGACTTTGGCTTTCTTGTGCTCCTCCTGGCCGCCATAGACCTTGTAGCGGATCATGAGGATGATGATGAAGACCAGGACGGAGGCCACGATGATGCCGCCGATGATGATGATCATAGTGCCGCCCAGGAACTGGGTGTGCAGCGAGTGGCACTGGGCGCCCTCCCCCTCCGTGGTGAACTGGACGCAGCCCACCACCCGCGTGGCCGTGAGCGCCGTCACGCCGTCATCGTAGACGGCCAGTACGCACAGGTCGTAGTCCCGGCCGGCGGCCAAGTCGTTGACCAGGAACGTCTTGCTGGCCGAGGGGATCATCCTGGGGGCGGAGAGAGCGCGCGGTTACTGCCCGGCCCGTCCAGACTCGTGCGACTGCCCCAGGACCCCCCACACGCCTTGGCCTGGGTGCGCCGAGCCAGGGGGCCGGCGGGCCGGTGGGAAGCTTCCTCCGCCAAGTGTGGGAAATTGCAGGCCGTCGCCACTTGGGGGCGCTCCAGGGAGGGCTTTCCCCATGCGAGCCAGAGGATGGCTGGAGGGGGATCAGCCGCATCACTGGCTCGTGCAGATCTCAGGAACAGCCGGCCATCGAGCATGGGCAGAGCGCGCTCCCCCCCACCCTCCCAGGTAACTGCAACCAGCCATTTCACCCCCACCCCCAAGGCCTCGCTTTGCTGGCACCGCTGCCTGCAACCTGCCCGCTCACCTGCTCCTCGGTGGCATGTCACCGGCCTCTTGCCAGGACGCCTGAGAAACGGCCTTTGCTCATTTTGGATCGGGAGCTGCCTGCTCAGGGCGCCGGGGTCAAGCCCAGGCATGCAGGGTGTGCCTTTCCAAGCGCACGGACTACAAAACTTGCGTTCAACGGCACGTGGGCCTTCCAGAAATGCGCAGGAAGTGTGTGCGCTTTGAAAAGGGGCTCAGGAGTGACAGGCAGAAAAACCAAAAGATACAGACCGCCTTGCAAAAGACTCTCCCAGCTGCCCAGCTTGGTCTCTCGGCCCCTTCAGAGCAGCTTCCAGGAGAAGCACCTTTGTTTTGCTAAGCCCTGGATTTCCCCCGTAACCCTAAATCAGCACACACATTTCCAAAATCCCCACTTCCCACAGATTTTTCTGCCCAGCTCGTTCTGTCTGCCCCTTCTAAGCACGTTCCGGGCCTCAGAAGCATCAGGAGCACCTTCCTTTTGCTAACCCTAACCCTTAACTGGGTTTCCCCCATAATCCTAAAATCTGGCAGAATTCCCCATGCAACGCATCCATTCAAAGCTTTTCCAGCCCACCCACTACAGGCATCCAGGGACGGCGTACGTGCCAAAAGGAAAGGATACCGAGGTTGCTTTCAGATACAAACAGGAGTGAACTTCAAAAGTGAATTTGGAGAACTGATGAACCCTACTCTTGGGTGCGCAGGCACTGGGACTTGCGTCGTGGTCCACGTTCTCTGCCCCGGCCCACTGACCTTTGGCCAAACCCCGTGACTGCCGCAGCCCAAGGACCGCCGTTCGAGCCAGAAGCGTTGTACAACTTTACTCTGTTTTGTCCCTGTCATTGGTTTAACTTAGAGTTATTTATTTTTATTTTTATTTTTATTTTTTTAATTTTAATTTTTATTTATTTATATCTATCTATCTATCTATCTATCTATCTATCTATCTATCTATCTATCTATCAGCAGTAGCTGGACCTTGTTTCCCCCTCAACTCGCATGATTTCAGCCAAATTGTTTCCACTGTCTTGGCATTTTGCATTTCCGTGTTTTCAGACTGCACAGCCCTGGGAGCTCTGGCCAATCCCACTGCAACCCTGAGCCAGGACTGTCCGGGGTCTGCTTAGCTTTGCATGCCATGTGCCCTTTGCTAAGCTGGAGAGACATGGGTCTGCAGCCGGATGGGCAACCACGTGTGGAAGCGGAGCAGGGGCTGGACTGGAGGGCCTTACGGGCCCCTTCCCACGCTGCTTCTCTAGTCTTCTCTTCTATCCCCCGGCTGGAATTCCCCAGGTTCCCTCAAAAAGAGTTCAGCGTGATGCGCAAGAGAGGAGAACCAGCAACGGGATGCATGCCAGGGTCACTGGACGCCATTCTTTAGCCTGGTTCGCTTCACTCCTGCTTTCCCTGCAAAACACTTGCATTTGCCTTTCAGCAGGAAAAGTATGATTCCTGTTACACTTTCTCCCATTGGCTAAAGCACAAAACTAAGTAGTTTTTAACATGTTAAGAGTGTGCTTTTTTAAAAATTGCATGTTTCAAGCTTGAAAAGGTGCAAGTTTTGTTCTAATTTTTCATTTGGGTGTTGCGAGTGGGACAAATCTGGATGACTGTGGACTGAAACAAAACTCCGGCACGTCGTGGTCTGGGAAAACTGTTTCTCCCCCTCTGTCTAGACGTGTCTCCCTCTCCACTCAACTGGGCCCTGGGAATCCCATCCTCTAAGCCATGGATGGAGCGTCTGCCGCACTGCAGAGCCCCGGGAGGGTGGGGGGCTGCAGGACCAGGATCAGGCCAAGGAGTGGGGGGGGGCAAGTGGCCCATGGCACACAGAGCCCTCCGTCAGTTGCCGTTTATTAGCGAGGGCGCGAGGCGAGCAGCCGGCAGCCAGCCAAGAATGATGGAACCGTAGCGCCTCGGCTGCAACTGCCCGGGGGTGGGTTGCGGGGTGCAGAGGGCCTTGGCTCCGGGGCAGGTCACGTGGAAACGGATCGATGGCTGTGGACGGACGGGCGAAAGCCGGCAGTGGAAAGGGCGGGTCACCGTGCGCCTCTGCAGAGACTGGCCGGCGGAGCATCTGCGGAGGTCTCATCAGGTCTCCACGTATAATTTTCCACTGCCAGAGCAGCATTTAATCACCGGGAGAAAACAGGCAGCGTTCCACTCGTCCTCGGGGAACGGCGTCCGAGCCGCCCATCCTCACCTGCGTGGGATCAGCGCCCGCGTGGAGGTGGGCGAGGATGGCGAGCCAGGCTGCATGCGCAGCAGGAGCCCACAGGGCGCGGGCCTCCCCCCACCCCACTGGAGGCACACCGGATGCCACTGCAGGGGCCGGGCTCAGCCTGCGGGCCCAGCACGGCCCCAGCCCGGTTGCTGGGCCTCTCTCCGGCGGCCATCACTGGCCACGGGGGGGATTTCCGGCTTTTGCAAGGCTCTCTCTCGCTTCGCAGCGGTGGAAGTGCCTCTCCCAAAGCTTGCTGGGAAACCGGCAGTGCCTCCCGCCAGAGCCCCCATGGCCCATCCGAGCCAGTTCTGCCGACGCTGAGCTCTCCCTCCGGAACTGTGGGCAGGGCTTTCCCGGCCTCCACCGGAGAGGCCAGCAATCCACCGTGGGGCCTTTCCGTGCACCGTGCCGCCAGCTCTGCGGAGCCAAGGCCCGAAAGCTCAGGAGGAGCATCATGGTAAAATATACTGGGATTGGCGGTGCTCTGGCCCCACCCGCCACTGGGACAGGGCCTCGGCGAGACCCTGGCCAGTGGAGGACCCACGTGCTGAACTCTGGGCTCCCACACGATGGGCCACAGACGTGCCCGGCCGGCCCACCGCCCCCGAAGCCAGCGCAGCAAGCCCAGCCGCGCCGTGCGCCCCCTTCACTCGCCTGTACACCAAGGAGTCGTCCAGGGAGCTGTTGTACTGAATCTGGTACATGCGGATGCCCGGGATGTGCCGTTCCGAGGGCCAGTGGATGACCACCGAGGTGGAGGTCAGGTCGGCCGCCGTGATCCTTCTGTCCAGGTGGTTCTTGCTGTCGTTGGCACCGGACTTGGCCGAGGTGGTGATGTCGGAGGAGCCGGGGTCGGGCCCTTTCGCGTGGCCGGTGTGGTTGACGAGCAGCGGGAGGGGGACGATGCAGACCTCCACGGGCGCGGTGGCCTCTCCCGCGGCGTTGGAGGCGATGCAGGTGAAGACGCCGTTGTCCTTCAGCGTGGTGATGAGCACCTCCAGCGTGCCGTTCTCGTAGACGGTCACTCGTGTGGTGTTGTGGATCAGCTTGCCGTCCGGGGCGATCCAGTGGATGGACGGCTCGGGGTCGCCCACGGCCTTGCACTTGAGGCTCACGCCCTGGCCCTCCATGACGAAGGCCTTGCTGGAGTACTGGCGCGTGATGAGCGGGGGCTCGCAGATGAACTCCTCCTCGGGGATGGACCAGAAGTACTTGTCCATCAGGTGCTCGGGGGAGGCGCAGGTCTCCAGGTCGTCCTCGCGCGTGAGCCTGCGCAGCCACAGGAGCTCGCAGTTGCAGTGCAGCGGGTTGCCCCCGAAGCTGATGGTCAGCGTGGACGGGTGGCTGCCGCGGACGTTGGCCAGCACCTCGGCCCGCAGGAAGAGGCTGTCCGGGGGCAGCTTCTGCAGCCGGTTGGAGGTCATGTCCAGCCGGACCAGCTTCTGCAGCTGCGAGAAGGTGCCCTCGGTGATGCGGTCGATGAGGTTGTGGTCCAGGGTGAGCGTGTTGAGGCTCACCATCTGGCCGACCGCCTCCCAGGGCAGCGTCTCCAGGTTGTTGTAGGAGAGGTCCAGGTCCTCCACGGTGGAGAGGAACTCGTCGAAGGAGGAGGGCTCGATGTGGCTGATCTGGTTGTTCCCCAGGATGAGGTGGCGCAGGTTGCTCAGCCCGCGGAAGTGCTCGTTCCTCAGGACGGCCAGCCGGTTGCTGTTCATGTGCAGCGCCCGCAAGGCACGCAGGTCGGCGAAGGCGAAGGGCAGGATCTGGCTGATGGTGTTGCGGGAGAGCGTGAGGTGCACCAGGTTGGTCATGTTGGCAAAGTCCTTGCGCCGGATGACGGTGATGAAGTTGTCGGTCAGGCGCAGCTCCACCGTGCGCCGGTCGATGGACGGCGGCACGAAGAGGAGGCCCGTCTTGGCACACAGCATGGTCAGCGTCGGGGAGATGTTCTGGCAGATGCAGCGGCCGGGGCAGTGCTGAGCTTCCGCCACGGTGCCAAGCATCAGAAGAGGCAGGAGAAGCTTTTCCATGGTACTGGCATGCGCCGTAGCTGCAGAGGCCCTGGGGAGAGAGAAGGGAGCCGCTGAGCGAGGGTTGCCCCCCAGCGCCTCCCCCGCCCGGCCGGGGCACCGGTGCCCCCCAGCGCGCCTCCCCTCGTTCGCGGCCAGTGGGGCCAGGGACGTACTGACTGGGTGCACTGCAGAAAGATGTGACTGCCCCCTCCCCCCCGTCCTGGCTGCTTTAAGCCTGCTCAGGGCAGCTTACAAAATCCCCAACGCTTCGATAACACACAATTAAAATCCAATTAACAACTTCATCACTATTAAAAGCAAAGCAACAGAACTAAAATCAAATGCGGGCCATCGATAGCAGACGCGCAGTTGCCATTGAGCAGCGTCAACAGAAGCGTCGCGGGGGCTCCTGCCCAGGGCTGGGGGGTCAGGGCCCGGCATGCTGCTCCTTCAACGGGGGCCCCACTGCAAAAGGCCCTTCCTTCTGCCCCCCCAGCAGGACTGCGCCCACAGACGCGCCAACAAGAGGGGCTCCAGCCAGGGACCTTGGGGAACGGGCAAGCCGGCATGGCTGGGGGCGATTCGTAATTTGGGGGACGGTTGCTCTGTCCTTGCCGTTCCCTTCCGGCTCATCGCGAGAAGGCCAGGCCTGCTGGAGAAGGCAGTCGTGCCAGGAAGCCTCACAGGCAGGAGAAGGAAAGGGTGCCCGGCTTGGAGAGGCAGGGCTGTGACGGGCAGGGCGGCTTGGGGGGCACTCCTTCAGGGGGTCCCCGTGAGTTGGGGCTTGTCTGACTCACCCCCAACACCAGCCAAGAGGAAGGAAGGCAGGCAGGCAGGCAGGGATCAGACACATGATCGGGTCCGGTCCCGGGCATGGCAGAACACATGTGCCGGTGACGCATCCCTGCGGCTGAGGAGCTGTGCTGGGCACTTCCACACGCTGCGCAGAAGCCAGCCTGGGCGCATGGCGAGCACGGCCCAGCGGCACTCCTGGGGGCCGGCCTGCGACAGCAATGTTGCCCTGACGTGTGCCCCCCACCCCGCGCATACACCGGATTGCAAGCGGACGCCTGCAAGCCTCTCCCCAGCCGGCTGGGCTCCCTGCCCGTCCGCCTCGCCCGCTCTGGTTTAAGGGGCACCGGCTCTGCTCTCTTCGCATCGCCCCGACTTGCTGCAGGTAAGAGGCCTCCTGACTATTCTCTTGCCTTATTTTGTTGCTAAATGGTATGTGTAATTGAATTTTTAAAGCCCGGCTCATTTTTATTGTTAATTACATAGTTTATTTTACGTACCACTTTCAATACTGGCCACATTAGCCTCTTTGAGACCCTGGAGTTGGAAAATTGGAATGTAAATATTTTAAATGCATGAATAATATTCTCCCATTTCATTAAAAACAAAAAGGACACCATGTGGGAGAGAGAGTTTTCAAGCAGAGGCGAGCAACTTCAAGGGTTTGTGGGGGGGGGGCATTCCCCCAGAACACCCCCCCCTTCCAGGTTTGCCACCAGCACTGCCGAAAGGGCAAGAGCAGCTTTTATACGGCAGCCCAGCATGCGTGGAGCAGGGGCCCCGTTGCCCGCGGACTGACTGCCGTGGGCTGCCAGGCACCGCCCTGCTTGCGGGCGAGGGGCGCGCCCCACGCCCCCCCAGCTTCCCCGCGGCATCGCACCGCCTTTTCCCGCCTCATCAGCCCCCTGGCAGCAGAGGAGGCTGCTCTCGAAGAGCATCCCAGAATTCCTTGCACTGTTGCAGCGGATGCTGCTTGGCGGAGGGGGCCTCCTGAAGGTGTGCCGGTGCCACTCCCCGAATGCCCAGCCAGCAGGGGACGCCGTGGGGAGGTTGCTGGGGAAGCCTGCAATGGTGGTTTTGAAGGACTGGCGCATGTCTGAAGGAGGGGGGGTCACCGCCATGCTGGCCAGGAGCTGCAGCTGAACATCGAGGCTCACCAGGCCGGAAGCGGCCCGGCTCGCAGCGGGTCCTGCCCGTGCCTCCTCATTGCAGGATGCGGCAGAAGCCTGGAGACCTGCCCTGCTCCGTTGCTTGTGGGGAGAAGGAGCTGCGCTTGGAAGCCCCTCTCACAGGGGAAACAGGACACCCGTCTTGTCTGAAACAAGATCGGGCCGGGAGACGTGGGTGGAGATGGGAATCGATTTTTGCCTATGGCAGCGAGAGAACTTGAGCTGGCTCGCGGCTCTCCCGGGAGCTCGTGCGCCGAGGCTGCAACACGGATCAGTTTGCCCGGAACCTGCAGCCCAGCCTGGAGCACCTTCGCCCAGGGCTCAGCCGGGCTCTGCCCAAGTCGGGCGCCATGCGGGCAGCCCGGCCCTCCCTCCCGAGCACGGGGAGGCCTGCCGAATCCCCCAGATCCGAGGGCTGGGGTGTCCCTAACTCTGCGCACAACTGGAACTCTGGCCTGGGAACCCCTGGAGCATCAACAGGTGTGGGGCTGGGCTGCAAGCTCCCCACGGAAGGACATTTTTCCCAGACCCACCTGGAGCCGCTCCCTCGCGGGCAAAGAAGGGCTCCGGCACGCAGGCCCGAAGCTCACTCGATCAGCCTTCTGCAGGGTGGCAAAATGCACATCCATAATCATTCGTTCCAAGCCAGTAGCTGGACGTAGGAACCTCTCTTCTCTTTTGGGGTGGCACGTTTCCTCTTTGTTTGGCAAACCCTAAGCAACACCGCACCAGCTGCCCGGCCATCCTGAAAACACAGGCCTGGCTGATGCCAGGGAGCAGGAGGAGGGCTGAGCTGGAGGCGGAGAGAGAGGCAGGAGCGATGGAGAATGGAGGAAGCAGCGGGAAAGTGGCTGGAAGCGAGGGCTGACGCAGGGACAAAGGGGATCGCGAGGAAGAGGCCGGGAGCCGGGAGCCGGGAATGGGGGTCAGGGACGAAGCCTCCAAAGCTCCGCAGCAGGCTGCCCGAGCCCGGGGCCCCGCAGAGGTGTGGGGCATGCCGCTATGTGGGAATTTCATCTTCGCTCACACCTGCTTGGAGCCGGGGGTGCCACCGTGATGGCGAACAAGCGCTCGCTGAAGATATTCCCAAGCTGCCGGGCCCGTTTTCACGTTCGCTTCCCAGTGCACGGTCCTTAATTTGCATGCATTTCCCCACAGACCGAATCAGCGCTGCTTCACTCCATGGACAACATCTGGGCAAACTCATTCAGCGGATGCAGCTTCCCCCTCCACAGAGCGCCGGCAGTAGCTGAGAGACCAGAGGCCTTGGGCACTGCTCACCCACCCATCCCTCCTGGGACTGCGACTCCCATCCGCCCCAGCCAGCGTGGCCCCCGGAGTGGTGGAGTCACAGACGGATCCATCTGCAGGGCACGGGTTGGGGAAGGCGGACGGGAAGCAGGGCCCCTCCTTCCCCGTGCTGATTTCCACGCAGGTAGCAGCTCCGCCGCCTTCCTCGCCTGATCACTCTGGGCGGTGGAGAGGGCAGAGGAGGGGGGGCGCCTCGCTCCCCACCCCTCTTTGTTCCCAGACTCTGGAGCACGTGCCCGGAGGGGCGCCGCTGCCTCCCGACCTTCCGGGGGTCAGATCGAGGCGCGGGAGGCAGCCTCGAGATGCGAGATCGAGATGCGGCTGACTCAGCGCTCCGGGGAGCCCGGCTCCAACGATGCGGCGAGAGCGGCCACGCGGCTCCGGCCGCCTCCCCCAGTGCACGCGGCCAAGGGGGCGGGAGGGCCTTCCGGGGCCATGCGGCGTGTGCATGCGTGCGTGCGCATGTACCTCGCCGCCGCCGTCTACCTTCGATGGCCATCCATCTGGGAGCTGGCGTGGATACCCTTCCTGGAGCCGGGGGGGGGGGGGGGGGGGGGGGGGCGCCGCCGGGGGGGGGGGGGGGGGGGGGGGGCTCGGCTGTCAGCATGCATGAAGGGGTCCCGGAAGATCTGCCCCCGACGGGAATAAGGATGACGGCGCGACGTGACTTTTATCCCATGCGGCGGCGTGTGACATTCTTAGACCGTGGCTGGAAGAGGGGCGAGGCGGGGGTGGCGGCGACGGGCGGTCTGTTTCGCACTCACATGTGCCGCCAGAAACACAGGAACACAAGCACACAGACAGCACCCCATTTCGGGCCTGGAGCACAAGCCTCCAGCCCCAGAAGCCCACCTGGATCAGCAACCTCACGACTGATCTATTGGTTGTCTGATTTCCATACCGCCCATTAACCAGGAAGGTTCTCTGAGCAGCTCCCAAGATCGGAAAACACAGACAAACACACCATGCAAGAACAATTAATAATACACGGATAAAATAACAACAGCAAGAGCAACAGTGAGTCCACAACGGTTCAGCTCCTTTTGCCACAGCCCAGAACCACCGGGGCCGAATCTGGGCGGACCGTCAGTCCTTGGCTGGGCCGAAGACCACGATCCTCCGGGCAGAAGCGGCAGCCGGAGGCCGGGGCCCCGTACCACTTCTGCGCACGCTGCCGCAGAATGCCAGTTCCCGAGCAGGCGTGCATTTGGAAGCAGCTCTCAGCTTCCTCGATTATACTAGCCTGGAACCAAAGCAAACATTCTGCGGTGCGGGCTCAGCTATGTGCGGTGGGCGGCTGGCGGAAGCGCCACTACGCCCGTGCCAGGCTGCGAACGAGGCCGTGCGGAAGCAGAGCGGCTTCCCGGAGCCGCACTGGAGGCAGCCCCCTGTGAACTGGGGCCCTTCCTCTGTGCGGGACTACAACCCCCATCTGCCCAGCCAGCGTGGCCGAGGTGTGGATGGGTGGGCTCATTCCTGGCCCAGCAGCAGGGCAGAAATGCTGCCTCTAGTCCCCCCTTCCATAAGTTAAAGGACTAGAGGCTGCAAGCAAGCCAGCCAGCGAGCGAGCGGAGCATTCAGAAGAGCTGGGAAATACCTGAAAGGGGAGTTGGTGGGTGGTGGAGCTTGAGGAACAGCCTTGCCCTCCATGGCTGCAGTCCGATCACTGAGGAATTATAACTCAAACACGGCATGGGCAGCCGGATCTTTTGCTGGCTGTGGGTTCTGCCAGGCGCTCTCAGCCCT